TAATTCCTTTAACGTTGATACTAGTTAAAAATAGAAGATATGAGGAAATCTTGACATTTGACAAGTCCTTAATTTCAAGAATTTTTTTATGTCAATGATCTATTAATAAATACATAAAAACAAAAAAGATTGAACATGATAAATTAAAAAAAAAATTGCGCTTTCTTACTCTATTTCATTTACATCATTTGAACTCTTAACCTCAAACAAAACTGGTTAAATACGTAAATCAAAGTTAAATGTTTAGGTGATTATTCAGTTCAAGATTAAATATTTTAATTCATACAAATAAAGATTAAATATTATCAATTTATAACAATATAAAAATTATTTCAACGAAAAATGAGATGTGTATGTGACGCACATTTATAACACATAAAAAGAATAAAAATCAACTGATTAGACAAATTAATGTTGATCTAAATTTTTTATTAGTATTTTGAGAAAAAAAAAACAAAAACAAAACATTTTTTTAGGAAAAAAAACTTGCAATTTGACCAAAATAAAAAAAAGTCAAAAATTTCCAAACCCAGAGCATATCGTCCTTAACCCTAATCACCCAGATAAGGTTAGTTCAATCACTGATTCAATTTTATTTGTTAATTATTGTGAGGTAAACATTTTTGTAAACCTTATTTTAGGCTAACCAACATTCGGTTCAATCGATTGCACTTCAAGAATTGATTTTGTTTAGAGTTCAATCTTTGGGCTCCGAAAATTTGGAATGTTAGTTGTTGTTTTTTCTATTAAATTTGTGTAAAATGAATAATATGGTGAATAATATGTACACATATTTTGGGTTCTATTGTTCTTCATAATTAACCATTTTGTGGTTGAAGTTTTTTGTTATTTTTCAAAGTTAGGCATATTTTGGTTTAGGGTTTTTTACAATTCTTCATTCTTAGGCATATTCTAACTTATGGTTTTTTGTTTTGTTTTTAATTACTCAAATTTATAATTAAAGTTTTCTATTGTAATTTTTAATTACTCAAATTTATATTTAAGGTTTTTTGTTGTTACTTTTATTGTTGTTTTTAATTAATTGAAATTATAGTTAGGGTTTTTACTGTTTAGTCATATTCTAATATGTGGCTGATCATAATTGTTTAATTGTTTATATAGCTTTTTGATTCTTACCCATCATTTAGGCCTCCACTAATGCTAGTATAGGTGATCACCTATCATTGTTGCTTTAATTTATAGCATAAGTAAAGCCAATTAATCAGCATAAAAAATAAATGTTATTTCATAAAAAATAAAAAAACCAACAATTCATGGCAACCGAGATTATAAATAGGGTTAAATATAGGATGAAAACACTTACAACCTAAATTTGTTTAGTAATTAAGCTGTTGTGTCAAAAGTTGAAATTAAATCTCCACCTCATCACCTAACTAAAAAGATTCTAAAAACTTACAACCAAAACCTAACTTTCAAGACCTCTCCTAAAATTTTAGCCAAGTCCAATATAATCGTCTATTAGAGCAATTTAAGAACAAAATCATGATAAAGATAGTTACAGAACCAGCCACAAAATCAATAGAAAGATAAACAAGCTTAAGTATAAGTATGATTATAACCTCAAGTCCACTTTATAAATTATCTTGCTAAAAATATTATCAAATAACAACATCAAGTCAATCATGTGAATTCTAATTCTAAAAACAAAATAATACAAAAAAATATGTTAAACTTTTGAGCTAAGATGTGCATATAAAAAATCTATTGTAAAAAAAAAAAGCATTTCAAAGAAAGACCCTAGGTTATAACAAAACAAAAGCTTATAACAAAAATTAGATAACAATGTAAGGGACATACATACTTAAACAAATTATAATTTTCATTGTCAGGGATTTAAGATTTTTTGTAATACTTATAATACAAATTTTTGTTAAAAATGATTCTTATAGAACTTATCAATTATGTGTGTGTGTGTATTATTCGTTAATAATTTATAATTTAAGATAAAAATTATTGAATTAAACTGAAAAAAAAAAAGAAAAGAATAAACAACTTAAGATGGAAGAAATATTAATTAAGAAATCGGTTTAATAATGATTATTGATTAGTATATAGATTTGTTGTTTATAAATTGATCAATTAATTTTTTTATGAAATTATAAGTGTAAGAGAAATCACAATAATAATTAAGCATTTTATTTATATAAAAATTATTAAATTAAATAATACATACAAATCAATCAATGAATGACATATGATTGAATAAACAAATATACAATTAAATCAAATTCACACTTACTCTAAAATTTTAAAATTTATTCTTTATTACTAAACAAAACCTTTAACAATCTCTTTAGTAACGATAAAACTATAAATTATTGGAAATTATACCTTGAAGGTAACGACCATTGAAAGCATGATTCCTTTTCCTCCAACGACTTGTCTCAAATCGATTAAGTTTGTAAGGGATGCATACCCACTTTTATAATTCCAAATCGAACCACATATATATTTATTTTTTTAAACCATAGTTTTAAATACACCAAATGTTTCTAAACCTCGTCCCATTCTGATTGTTTTGTATCTCTTTCACTAATAATATTTTCCAGAAATTTAGGTATGCATTTATTATAAGAAATTATTATATCGATCACTCCTCACAAATATATAGCTATAAATTTCCAATAAATTATAGTACGTTTATATTATTTGTTAATCTTAATTATAAAATTACTAAAATATCTTAAAATTATATTATCCCATACAAAATCTTATAGCTTTTTCCTATTTAGTTGTATGTTGGGTTATTTAAATAAATTTCCTATTTTATTGCATAACAAGAAAACACCTAACAATAGTCTCAATGGAAGGGGCTCTTAATGGAAAGCTAGATAGCAGTCGACAGTAGGCAGCCCTTGATAAAGGCTATGCATTCACGCCGTGTGATTAGCAGCGAATCTCAACATTTGATATCGAGGGAGTCAATTAGAATTAAATATAGTTTTTTATTGATTATATTATTTAAAATATAAAATGAGTGTCAAATATAAGTACATATTTAATATAATTATGCTTTTTTTTTAAATTTTTTCATGTATTTAAAATTTTTTAATTTGCATATTCACATTTATCATATGTATCAAAATATTTTTTAAAAAATCTAAACAATTAACATAATTCATTTAAAGTTTTATTAAACAAAAAAATTAAAAATGGTCATAAAAATATAAAAAAGTACAATAGACTAAAAAAAAAAACGTTTTGACGTTTGATTGGAAATTGAAATCTTGTTGAGAAAAAAAGAAAGTTAATTTATTTTTTAAAAATATACGTAAGTGTGATGCATTAATGTGATTTTTTATTTATGATAAATTTATTATTTTTAAAGATTTATGATAATAATTATGGATATAATAAATGATAAATAATAATATAATTAATTTCTCTTAAATCACAATACATAAAATTAGATTAAAGATAAAAATTAAATTAACAAATATCAATTTTAATATAAAAATTAATTTAATTTAATAAAAATATACGAAACAATTATAATATATATAATATATATATTTTTGATTACAAAAGAGGGCTAATGCCCTTATAAGAACTGGAGGAATGATAAGATAAAACTCACGTTTTATATAACTTTTAAGTGGTCTTTTAATCATTAAATTAAGAGGAGAAAATATTTTATATATATATATATATATATAATATGTTAACAGGATTTTGAAATTTTTTGACCGCCTCTAGCCCCTAGCGGCGATCCACCATTGCATGTGCATTTTGATCGTATCGATTGTGACGTCAGTTAATATTCCAACTGTCATCTTAGCATTCTTAATACTTGTTAAGTAAATAAAACTTATATAAAATTCATTAAGTGAAGTTTGTAAAATTTTTTAAAAAATAAATTTATAAAAATTTTAATAAAAAAATTAAATTGATAAATTAATAAAATTTAATGTAAAAATTAATGATAAAAAAATAAATTATTAAAAATATTATTTATAATTTAAATTTAATTAATATTTATTCGACAAAAATTTTATCAATATTTTTATTAAAATATTTATTTAAAAATATACATTAAAATTTATTAAAATTTTTTAAATTGACACTCTTAATCTATATAACAAGAATTTTCAATATATCATTTTTTATTTTCAATTTTATTTAATTATTTATAATAGAGAATTTTACCAATTTTATCTTAAAAATTTTATTTAAGTTTTTTTTTTCTTTCTGGAGAAATAAAAGATAGAAGCTGGCTAGTCCAGATTTCATATTTTGAACTTTATTTTTTTTTTTCAATTTTTGATATTTTGCTGATTTGAGAATCTGAAAATCATTGAAATATTATTTTTACATCCAATTTTTTTCCCCGACAAATCACGTTAATTTCGGAAATAAATCCTCCAATAAATAAAAATACATATTTATTTTTTTAAAATTTTTTTTGAAAATCAATACAATCTAAATATTTCGAGATGGAAGAAATATATATTTTCACCAAAAATGTTTACTAGTTTCTATATTGAAAAAAGAATTACTACAATAATTTCATTTAAAAAACTTAAAAATAAAAAAGTAGTAAAATTTATGGAAACGGAGAGAATTCACGTGCTAGAAATATTATACTCTGAGATAAATCAACGATTTACATTTCACAATCATAAAAAAAAAATACAGAACAAATGTAATTACATCCACATCTTCAAAAAAAAAAGCCAAAATCATGGTCGTGGCCAGTCCCCTGTAAACAAGGAATTACGTAATCTTAATCTTCTGCAAAGAGTCAGACTACTTTTTCATGTCCATTGTCTCTTCCTTCTAACTTGTCTTTTCTTTCTCATAGAATTCTTGAATATTTTTGTCTTTGACATCCCAAGACCACAACTTTTGTCTTCATGAAAAAACGAGAACAGAGTCATCAGTTTTAACCGTTCAAAGAAAGCAAGTAAGAAACCGTAAATTTTAAGAATCAAAATCACAATGAGACTTGTTTTTTAAACTTTAATATTTCATCTTCTTCAATGCCATTGCTTATCTTAACTCTAACAACCATCAGCCTTCCCTGTAAAGAGTCCATGTCCTACATTATCTCTCAAATCCCCCACATATCTGGGGTTTTCATCAAAAACAAAGCAGAAAAAAACCTTAAAAAATACCTGCATTTGCCGCTTTTGCAAAAACCAAGAAAGTTCTATCTCTCTTCTTGTTAATTCCGCATCTGGGTTTCGCCGTTTGAAGGAAATGGTGATGGATTTTGATAATTATATTGTTGGGACGTTTTTGGTTTCTCTTTTTGGCTTTGTTTTTTTTTTCATTTTGCGGCGTAATAACAATAAGAAGAAGAAAGCCAAGAAAGATTCTAGGGAATTTAAGAACCAAACCGACTCTGTTAACGGCACCGACATAGGAGAATGCTCGCCGGAATATGGTTCCGGTGAAGACGTCATTATTGTCGGTGCCGGCGTTGCTGGTGCTGCTCTTGCACGTACTCTTGGCAAGGTAAATTCTGTTTTCTTTTAACTATTTTCTTAGGTACTATAGTTTATGGTTTTCATTTTTGATGAATGATTTTTTCAAATATTGAGGCAATTATTGAGTTTTAGTGATTAACTGATTATTCATTGAGAAAAGTTTAGTGATTATTTTTTTATGAGATTCCACTGATAATGAAAATCTGGTTTTCATTACTTTGGCTTGAAATTTAGTATATGTTTACCTGCACGTTAGCTACACATGGATACGCTTTACGAAATTGGCGTGCTTGGAATTATCTCATCGTAACAAAAAGCCAGTTTGGAATTTGACTGTGATGACATAATTTCCTTGAAAAAGACACTTTTTTTTTGTTTGACTAATGAATTCTGTTTAGATTTTTATTGGTCTTCACCGGAGAATTGAATCTTCTGCTCGGTGATTAAACAGTGCAAATTATATCAGATTGTTAGCTATTGAATTTAGAATTTTTTATAAAGAGGAGGAACAATTGTAGATGGTGGGATCTGAACTTCACATCTGTTAGATGCAAGGTCGTCGCATAGATCAACTTTACAAAGTTTTAAATTCATTAATGAGTTTAGAATTTAACTTGTAAATAACTTTGCTAACTAAACGGAGTAGGAAAGGTCAGCAACGTGTTAATGGTTTGATTTGAACTTTGAAGATCGATAATCTCAATTTGGATTTCTTTTTGTATTGTTGTCTTCTTTTCTTGTAAGATTCTACTGTAAGAAATTCTAGACGTAGATTAACTTGGATTGGTTGTTTTTAAGGAACAAGTACAGGATACCGACTTGAACATCCTTGGGATTTTGCTTTCCACGTGTTTGTTTAGTTTGTGGAAAATTGCAGATGATTTCTGAAGCATTACAATCATAGAAGGGCTTAAACTGGTGTTCATTTGCAATGATTATTTAGTGCTAATTCAACTACAATTTTGTTGCTAATTTCAGGATGGAAGGCGTGTTCATGTGATAGAAAGAGACCTGACAGAACCCGACAGAATTGTTGGGGAAATGCTGCAGCCAGGAGGATACCTTAAATTAGTTGAATTGGGCCTTGAAGGTATACATGGAAATTAATATGCATCTTATTAAATTGTGAACAAACTTTGAGTTTGGATCTGTTCTTCTGATTTTGTTTTTACCTGTAAAATGCAATTTATATCTGTTTTGGTTACAGATTGCGTGGAGGAAATTGATGCCCAGCGAGTGCTTGGGTATGCTCTCTTCAAGGATGGGAGAAATACTAGGGTGTCATATCCCTTGGAGAAACTTCATGCTGATGTTGCTGGGAGGAGCTTCCATAACGGGCGTTTCATACAGAGGATAAGAGAAAAAGCTGCTACTCTTCCCAAGTAATCCTTTTTGCTTCCTGGGTTCATGATGTATACATATTAGTTACCTACTTACTGCTGCATCGATGAATTTGTATTTCTTTTTTCCACATCAAAATTTTCATTTTGCGTTACAATTAAACTCCTTCCACTCTTGTATTTTAAAATTTAAGTGTACGGCTAGAGCAAGGAACAGTAACATCTCTGCTTGAAGAAAATGGGACAGTTAGAGGGGTGCAATGCAAAACTAAGGATGGTCAAGAACTAAGAGCTTTTGCTCCTCTTACTATTGTATGTGATGGTTGCTTTTCAAACCTACGTCGCTCTCTTTGCAACCCGAAGGTGAAGTTGCCATCTTATAATTGTTATAAACAATCATGGTCACCAAGATATTATCTTATGAGCTACAATTTCTTAGAGTCGCATTGTCTCCTTGAATGCTAAATCTAATCCTTTAATGTTGCATGTGCTTCTGTTGCTTGTGATGTTCTACTAGGAAAGTAACTGTAGCCCTGTTAACGTTTCAACAGGTGGATGTGCCCTCTTGCTTTGTGGGTTTGGTCTTAGAGAACTGTGAACTCCCATTTTCAAATCATGGGCATGTTATCCTAGCAGATCCTTCACCCATTTTGTTTTATCCGATCAGTAGCACAGAGATTCGCTGCTTGGTCGATGTACCTGGGCAGAAAGTACCTTCCATTGCTAATGGTGAAATGGAAAATTATTTGAAGACTGTGGTGGCACCACAGGTACCTGTTAATGTTGGTGCATGATTTTGGATTGTCAACTTATGATGAAAAGCCCTGTTTCGTTGTAGTTGCACCCTAAAATGACTTTCATCCTTTGTTCATGATCACGCGTCACTTCATCAATTGCATGCTGCATGCATACCTTGGTTTAATCAAAGGGAGTGTTTTTATTTCAGGTTCCACCTCAGCTTCATGATGCCTTCATAGCTGCTGTTGACAAAGGTAACATTCGAACCATGCCAAATAGAAGCATGCCAGCCGATCCTCATCCAACTCCTGGAGCACTTTTAATGGGTGATGCTTTCAACATGCGCCATCCTTTAACGGGTGGAGGAATGACTGTGGCATTGTCTGATATTGTTGTACTTCGGGATCTTCTTAGGCCTCTGCGTGACCTTCATGATGCAGCTTCCCTGACCAAGTATCTTGAATCATTTTACACGTTACGCAAGGTTAGTTGGCTGCTTATGCTATGATCCTTCTTTAGTAAGCATAGCTCTTTCATCATTTGAATTTTTTTGTGCCACTTATCATAAGGTTAGTTGTCTTCTTATGCTATGAATTTTGCTGTTTGCTCATGATACGATGTTTATTGCAGCCTGTAGCGTCTACAATAAATACTCTGGCTGGTGCCCTTTATAAGGTGTTTTCTGCTTCCCCTGATCAAGCAAGGAATGAAATGCGCCAAGCCTGTTTTGACTATTTAAGCCTTGGGGGTGTTTTTTCAACAGGACCAGTGGCTTTACTCTCTGGTCTAAACCCTCGCCCATTAAGTCTAGTTCTTCATTTCTTTGCTGTGGCAATATATGGCGTTGGTCGCCTGCTCCTACCATTTCCCTCACTTCAACGCTTGTGGATTGGAGCTAGGTTAATTTCGGTATATTTTTCCACCCTTTATTCTGTTTTTTTCACCTCTTAACTCCCTCGTTTCCTTTTCTTTTCCTTCCTTTTGTTCTCTATTTATATGAATCAAATAATCTCACCGTACAAATTATTTGACATGCTACTGAACTCTCAGCCCTTTCCTTTTGTTTCTGTCCACTGATTTTTGCATTTAACATTCTTGCTGGCAACACTTGGCAGACAGCAATATGATTGGCAAGATACCATAGTACGTTACAAAAGTTCCAGCCTTTAACAGCCGGAATTGGTTAATACATTTCTTTCTTTGTAACAACTTTGTGCTTTGCTCCAGAAGATAACATGAAGAAAAAAAAAAAAAATCCTATAACACAGCACTTTCATGTTTTTTCAAATCCTAATTGAATGCGAGGTCCATTAGCATACTGTCGAAAAACATAAAATCTGCAAACATTGCTGGAGTTTGCCACTTTGTGCTGAACTGTTTCCCCCTTTTCTGCAGAATGCATCAGGTATTATTTTCCCCATAATCAAGGCAGAGGGAGTGAGGCAGATGTTTTTCCCTACCACAGTTCCAGCACTATATAGAGCTCCTCCCGTTGAGTGATATGTCCCATGATGCTAGCTTCAGCTTTGCTGTACCCAAGATTTAGCTTGAACTACCTCCTTTCTGCTCAGACGGTGACTGATAGTGCATTTTATATTTCACGTATGCCGAGGACATTGTACGACTGTGCTATATTAGAGACGGTTAGGAACTATTCTTTCATTGTATGAACCAAATTCTCCCAAACTGAAATACTCTAATAAAAAAATCTTCATTTGTGTTGTAAAACATTGCTATGGAAAGCATTTTTACAAGTGTGATTATGAAACTTATTAAAAGAATTAGACCTAAGCATTTATTTATTTGTTTATGTATATTTTATATCTAATACGTGTAAAATATAAAAATTATCATGATTCGTATCAATATATTAAATACAAAATACACATTTTAGTTTTATCAAATTCATATATATATTATTTTTATTAAAATTTTAGATGGTATCATAAAATATCATGATTACGTATCGAAAATGGTTAGCTCTAAAAAATTATATTCCAAACCCAATACTACTCATGGGCTACACTTCCTCAAATAGAAGTTGAAACGAGGGCCGTGAAATAGAAATGGTGCTTGGATTGGACATGGACTCGTAAACTACGATGTGGGCTCCCATGGTTTTGCCTTGAAAAGGCTAAAACCTGACTGTCTCCGTACGCGTCCGGTAACCGAACCCCTCGATCACCCAAACGGAAAAGAGGAGTCAAACTCCGAGCTCCAATTCAGTAGAAACTAGAAAAACTCTGATCTGTCAACATTTTCAGGGTAATGGTAAGAGTCCTCTCTTTGTCACGGACCTGCCTTAGGTCCCGGTCGCACTCCATTTCCCAGCAACCTTCTCCATTTTCCATTGTCTCTTCACCATTCTCAGCTTCGAAGCAACAAAACAAAAGCACTGAAGACAATCAAAACACCGCCGTTTCACTTTCAACAGAGAACCAACTGACCCACCTCGCCTCTTCGTCCAGCCTCGTCTCCGTCCTGCTACTTTCTTGCAGGGTAAGCTGTACGCAGCTTTGTCTAGCTAATTCCCTTGAGGAACAGCGTGATGGCTACTTTGGTTTTGATTTCTTCAATAAGGAGTTGCCTCCTCATGTTGTTGTCCAAAACCCTTCTCTTGAATCTTCCAAAATCAGCGCTGGTATGTAAAGCTCATGGTATTGTAGCCCTTTCGACTCACTTTCACATAGGTTACATTTAGTTGTTAAACTGTGGGATTCATATCCGATTTGCGAGTGTAGGTAACTGAGAAGATTGAGTACGTGTCATTGATGCTTTTTTTTTTCTTTTCCTATCTATTTTTGGTCTTTATTAATCTTTTTCACCAATTGAATTTGCTCTTATAGTTGATGGAAGCGTTTCATAATTCAACCTTGGAAGAGGTGACGCTTTTGTGGTATGAATGTATACCTCTCATCTTGCTTAAAGATTATTGATATCTGCCTGTCAGTCTTTTTCTCTTTCCACGGGCTTTGCCGTTGTAGCTTGTTTACCTTCTCTAGTAGCAGTTACATTTGCCAAGGCTCCTACAACCTAGATATATCCTCTCTAAGAGGTCGATTTATCATGCAATCAAAGCTTTGCTATTACTAACTATTATTCTTGCTGTTGTTTTAAGTGGTCTACTTCTAAGTGAAATTTTCTTTATATGATCAAGCGCCACAGTAATTAGTAAATACAATCAGCGAGCTCTGTTGAGTAATACTTGAAACATGATTAATGTAGACTTATGTGAACCATAATTAAATTATCTTTTCTTTGGGTACATAATTTTATATGAAATCATCTCTTGAATAAGAGAAAATCAAGATTGCTGTCCTTCGGACGGCTGATGGATTTTTCAAATATTCTGCAGCTTGTAATAGATTGCACTCCGCCTAATCTTGATGAGCATCGTTCTACAGTGTTGCATGTTCTTCGGAAAATTCGAGTATCACAGGAGAAGCTTCAGAACAAGGTGCTTTAACACATTCTTTGCCTCTCCTCCCTCCAAAGATTTAAAAGAAAAAAAATCAAGAAGATATCTTCTAACTTTGCAATCTGCTCAGATTGAATACGAAGAAGAAATAGGAGCTGATGAACATATGGATGATGGTGAAGATGTTGAGACTAACAATTTAATATGGCATCTGAGCTATATGTTAGATGGGAAGTTTGATGTTGATGGTAATGCTGATACTGATGGTAGTGATGTATTTAAGCCTTCACCTGGAGACCTTCAATAGACCATGGATGACAAGCAGCAAGGTGATTGCTTTGATGGCTGGCTGTTGTCAGGGGATGACTCTGCGGATGACTATTGGAATACCCTGAATGACAGGAGTGTGGAAAAAGATTCCGAATCTCAACCTCAGCATGGTCCACACGTCAAAGTATCTGCCCTAACTGGAGTACTGGGACTTGCAATAAGAACTTTCGGAAAGCATCGATGGAAGGCTAAAGGTGCTAGATGACAAGCTGAAGTCTCAAAAAGTAGTGGAAAGCAGTTTCTTAGATCGAAAATGGAGGCCCCCTCGTAAAGAAGGCGAACATCTAGCAATTGAACAAAGACAACAAAAGGCAATACATTTTTTTCCCACTCTGGTGAGCATCAGCAATATCACAGTATCAAAGTACAAATGGAAGCACCATGGACATAGATGATGAATAATTAAGCGAATGTGTACCATAAATTTTTTTTTTTAATGTAGTACATAAAAAAGGAATAAATCACTGCTCTTAGCAACTCAAGCAATCCATCAAACGACATCGTATGTCTCACCGACGCGCTAATAACTGTATCAAAAAAACCGCGCCGTATAATGGCGATCCATATTTCTCAGAAACGGGTCTGAGCTGACCTAAAACACTCCAAAAGCTTTCACAGATCTAAGATCCAAAATCCAAATGCCCATTTCCATTTTCTTCGTCTAAGGTGAACGTTCCCTTCTTCTGTCTCTTCTTTTGATTTTTTTTTTCTTTCATCATTTCCTCCGTTTTGTCTTATACTCAAAGCTTTCTCATGCTTTGGATCCGCTTTGCATTTCTCATTTTGATTGTTTGGCAATGAATTCTAGTGCTTGTTCTTTCAACGAAGAAGCTGGATTTTACTGTAAATCTGTTGTTTGTTTCTTTGTTCGGTACAGTGTAAATAATAACAACAAAGTTTTAGAAGAGAGTAGTAACGAACCATGTCAAGGAGGCAAATAAGTTCCACGCGTCGATTAGTCGACAGCAGAAACTTTCCATTCGCCGGTGCCTTACATTCCAAATCCCGATCTTCTCCCATTTTATCAATTGGTCTTGTCGTTGTGGTATATCTATCTTTTTTTTTTTTTTTTTTGTTTTTACTTATAATTTTTGTTACTTTTAGAAAAGAAAATTAAGTGAGTTAGTACTTTCAGGGAGCTATCCTTCTAATTGGCTATGCCTACAGTGGCTCAGGTATTCTTCATTTTATTGGAATTTCATATTTGGGTTTACTTGCTTTGTTGTTCAATATGCTAATCTTATTAGTTCAATTGGCCATTCTGTTCGTTCTGGGGAATACAGGTAAATTCCGTGGTGAAGCAGTTAGTCGGATTGAAGGTAAACCTTTTAGTTTATTCCTCAACCGTGATTTGATTTTTACTATTAAATTAACTGTGTAGTTACTTTTTATTTTCTTTTATTTTATGAACATTTTGTTGTGATTTTTCTTTAGAACTACTTAAATACTTGGCAGATTCGCTAATTCTTTTTGGAAAATTTAATTTGAGAGACCAGAGAATGAATTTAGATTTGGTTTGTCATATAAATTGTGACGATTAACGTCTCTATTCATATATGAATTTCAAATTTATCACTAAGTAGTACAGATCTAAAAAAATCCATGCATTTGAAAATAATTATGAAATTCGCTATCCCAAATTCTAGTTCCCAAAGGCAATCTTAACAAGTTGGAAAATAGATTAAGTTATTTTGGCATGTGTATGAGATTACCAAATTCAACGGAGACAACATTTTGGAAACAGCTTTGATCTTAGAGGCCTTGCTCCTGCATCTCATTGTTATCAGTCTTACTTTCCTTTGATACTTATACTGAAGAAAAACTTCTTACCAGTCGCCGTGATCTTATTTCCTCCTTCATAATTTCCTTTAATTATTACTTGAGGAATAAAAATTTATATCATTGGTGGTTACATTGGGTAGATATATGGTTTGTCTGTCCAGTGATAAGTGGAACATCCAAGTGTGGAATTGCCATGCTTTGGAAATGGTATATTTTCATTAAGTATAACATTCCAAAAATCAATTAATTTCTTCTTGTTTTATAGGTGACTATTCATGCACACTAGAAGTTCAGAGGGCAATAACTTTTCTAAAGAAGGCATATGGCGACAGCATGCACAAGGTTTTGCATGTAGGCCCTGATACCTGTTCAGTGGTCTCTAAACTTTTGAAAGAAGAAGAAACTGAAGCCTGGGGTGTGGAACCATATGACATAGAGGATGCTGATGCAAATTGCAAGAGTCTTGTGCGCAAAGGCATTGTACGTGTGGCAGATATCAAGTTTCCTCTTCCTTATAGGCCGAAGTCATTTTCTCTTGTTATTGTGTCAGATGCCCTTGATTACTTGTCTCCGAAATACCTGAACAGGACTCTTCCTGAGTTGGCAAGGGTGGCCACTGATGGTCTAGTTATTTTTGCAGGTAATCCCTTACACTTTTAAGTTGCATATAAATTATAAAATAAAGTTAATCGGGTAGAGAAATTGCTTATATACAGATATATTTGCTTATGAAGCTAACTGTTTCATGGATGAAAAATTGCTTCTGATGTAACTATACTACATCTCTTTCCCTGTCTTAACAATGTTTCAGCAACCTCTGTGCCCTTCTAAAGAAAGCTAATATATTAAAAACCTTTTTGATCTTTCTCTGCTTTCTTTTTCTGCCATACCTGTTGGCACACCATTCAGACACCGCAGAGCAGCTAGCTCAAAACGTATATGAATTATTATAATTAGGTATATGCTAGACATTTTTCCGCTATTCTAGCACTTAATTACCAGTCTGGAGCTGTATTACCATTTAGAACACTTTCCTAGAGGCTATAGGCATGCTGTTCAGACTCCTCTCTTGTTTTTCTTTGCAAGCTGGGAGATTCATCA